AGCGAAATTGAGGCCTGGTGGGAGGAAGGACCTCAATTATCATGACATTGTTTTTTTCCATTTTGTGGGAAACATCTTTTTTTTGTTTAAATTGAGATGTAGTTGACATATAACATTATATTAGTTTCAGGTGTGCAACAAAATTTTTTTTTGTATATATTGCAATATGATCACCACAATAAATCTAGTTAACATCCATCACACACACAGTTATAATTCCCTTTTTCTTGTGATTAGAACTTTTAAGATCAACTCTCTTGCAACTTTCAAATATGCAATATGGTATTGTTAAGTATAGTCACTGTACTGCACATTACATCCCCTTTTTAAAAAAATGAATGAGAATTTTCCTCCACACACGCTATTAAAATAATACTACTAATGAAAAATTTAGAAATGAGAGAAAAGGAAGGAAAATTCATTAATTGTTCCTCTACGTTATGTGTAAATAATTTTTATTAATATTTATGGAACTTCCTTCCAGTCTTTTTTCTGTGCTTAGATTTACTAGTTTTTTACATAGTCATGATCTTTACTAGCTGGATAATATCAGGTAGTCATACCCTACTTCACTTGGACATTCTCCAACTATTACACATTTCTATTGTTTCTATTTTTAGTTGTAACTGCTATTTCATATATTGAGAGGAAGATTTGTCATAGGCTTATTTGCTCTGATGTGACTTAACCATTTAGACTAGATATTATACTTAGTTATAAATGTCTACTTTCTGCTAAGAGACATTTTTGTAGACAGTTATTTCCTCCTACACCTGTTTTAGTCAAGTTTTCTCCTCTGCACTGGTTTTAAAGCATTACTTACTTGTTTTACACTGTGGTTTATGAGACATTTCATATGACTTCTCATCTGTTTCTTTTTTTTCATGGTTTTCTTCATTTCCTATAGTTCTGCATCAACTCCTGGATTAAATCTTCCCTGACACTTCCAGCTCACACTGATCTTTTCTCTCTTTGTGTCATTTTGCATCTTGTAACCTTTGCTATGACATTATCTATTTAGATATACAATCTTAGTACTCAAAAAGTTGTTTCTTTGGGTACTTCATCTGAAACTAAGGTACCTGTTTACTGTGATAGTAATACATGCTTGTTATAAAACATTCAAACAATATGTAAGTATATAAATACCGAAAGTGAGAAATATTTATACTTCGGTTCCCCTAATCTCACAAAATAACCACTGTTAGCAGTTAGATATATATTTTCCCAGACTTAAAAAAAAAAATCTATTTATCAACAAAATTTTGTTTTAATGGCCATCTGTTATTCCAATATATTGTAAGTACCTGGATTTTATCCTAAAAAGTCCTAACCGTCAAAGATATTTGTATTTGATTACATTTCCATTAATTTTCCCATTTAAAATGTTATATTTATTTTTAGTACATCTCTGCTTAAGTTTGGATCTCTACATTATTATATTTAATATTCACTTATTCAATAAATATTTATTGATCAGGAGTAGCCAGTGAGGCAGGAGGAAAACCGGGAGACTATGAGGCTTGGAAGCCAAGTGTAGAAAGTATTTCAAGGAGATATTAGTTCACTATGTCAGATGCTGCTGGGAGATCAAGAAAGATGAGGACATTGGACTTTTGCAAGATGGAGGTCATTGACAAACTTGACAGAAGCAGTTGCAGTGCAGTAGTGGAGAAGTAAGCCTGGCTGAAGTGGGATTAAGAGAGACTGGAAGGCAAGGAAGTAGAGACAGTGATTATGGACTCGTTCAAGGAGTTTTGCTCTGAAGAGAGCAGAAAAATAGGTGTGAATGTAGACGGGAACATAGATGGAGGGGGCGGTGTTTGTTGCGATGGCAGATGTCCCAGCATGTTTGCATGCTCATGGGAATGATGTAGTAGAGAGCAGAAAATTGCTGATGCACAAGAGAAAGGATAATTTCAGGAGGTTATCATCTAGCACCGCTGTGGAGAGAGGTCTGGCCTTAATTAAGAGCAGGGACAGTTCATTCATTGAAACAGGAAGAAAGGCAGAGATACAGATTCCATAGGTTAACAGATTTGGGGATAGGAAAATGAGTTTTTATGTGATTCCTTCTGTTTTCTCAGTGATATAAAGTTAAGGGCTGAGAGGTAGGGAAGGAGAGTCATTAGCAGTTTGGGGAGAAAGGAGAAAATGTGAATATTTTTTTTTTCCCTCCAGGATGATGGAGGGACACAGACAATGACAGAGCCATTGGCATGATGGCTTTTAAGCACTGTATTCTTCCCAGGCAGTTTCAAGCCACCCAGCTGACTCCATATAATCATTCCCTTAACTAAGCTGTTCTTTAATTTAAAATATCATGTTGATGAGAATGTATATTATATAATTAATTTCTTATGAAAGTTGAGTCCATTTATTCCAATACATGCATACATAAATTCTTCTCTGCATCCTACTCCTAGGAATTGCATAAATGACATAAATATGTATATGGACCTATGTCGTGGTGCTGTTTATATTGTCTAAAAAATGGAAATGACCCAAATGTCTTTCAATTCAGATTGGTTAAATTATTTATGGTTTAACAATACTGTGGTATACTATGTATTTAAAATGTTGTAGGTCTCCAGCTGGCCTGTTGGTGTAGTGGTTAAGTTCATGTGCTCTGCTTTGGCGGCCCAGGGTTCACAGGTTTGGATCCCAGGCGCAGACCTACCCACCACTCATCAAGCCATGCTGCGGTGGCATCCCACATAAAATTGAGGATGATTGGCACAGATTTAGCTCAGCAACAATCTTCCTCAAGTGAAAAAAGGAAGATTAGCAACAGATGTTAGCTCAGGGCCAATCTTTCTCCCACACACACACAAAATATTTGTAGGTCAATAGTTAGGGACGTGTAAAAATAAGTCTTTAACATTACTATTAAGTAAAAAAGCCAGATTCAGTATAATTTTTGAAAATTATATCTAGGTATATATACATAAAGATATCTGGAAGAATATCCCTAGATATTCACAGTGATTTTTACTTCCTTTTTTGAACTTTTCTGTATTGTTTCACTTAAAAAAAAAGAATGTGTTGTTTTTTTACAATCAGAAAAAAATTTTTTTCATTTTGAAGTGGTAAAAGGTTTAAGACAGAAATCAATCACTTCCCTACAGTTCTAACTCACAGACTTGGTTTGGGTATTTCTATTGTCAGTTACAAAAACTTTAAAAAATAAACCAACAGGTCTACATATTTTTCTCCCTGATGTTCAAGACATCATTCTAGTAGCTCTGGACATTAAGATACGATTTAGATTTCCATTTAAAAATCAAGCTCACCAGAACATAAGTTTTTCTAACCTTTTTATAATAAAATGTTTACATCTTAGAGGTGTTAAGTAACTTCATTACATGCTTAATGCATGTGCAATACAGTTAGCATCTTTGGTGTTCACTTGAGAATCCTAATGTAAAAGAATAAATTTTAAACAATTAATTAAAATTTGGTAACACATTTGCAAAGAGTTTTCAACATACTCGTGGGCCGTAGCACCCTGGTGGAGAGCCACTATACTGTTTTCTCATTTTCTTACTATTTTGTCCTATATTAAAATATAAACTGATTAATACTTTTGTCTCCTAAATAGATTATAAGCTACTTATAGTCACAATTTGTCTTTTGCATGCTGTAATTGCAAACCCATTAGTGAATCTTGAAATCAATTTAGTGGGTGATAGTTGGCATTAAATTATATATGGTAATGCACTGCATAACGACGTTTTGGTCAAGGATGGACTGCATGTATGACAGTGGTCCCATAAGGTTGGTACCATATAGCCTAAGTGTGTAGTAGGCTTGTACCATCTGGGTTTGTGTAAGTACACTCTGTGATGTTTGCATGATGACGAAATCGCCTAATGATGTGATTCTCAGAATGTATCCCCATCAGGGGATACATGACTGTATATACACATATGTGTGTGTGTGTGTATGTGTATACATATAAAAGTGTGTGGCATGTATTAAGGGTAAATTCTGTTTATGAAACTTCTAGGTGCAGCAAAATATTTGGATAGCCCTGTCCTGAAATACTTAGGGAAGTACATTAAAAATCTTAATTAAATAGGTCACTTGTCCAGGAAGAAACCTTGGTAGTGTAGAATATAGCCCCTAAATCAGAATTTTAACCCCTAAAAAGTCATTTGAGTTACAAAAGTAAACTTCAGTTATGATGAACACCTCAGTCTCTACCTCAAAATCCTAAATTCAGTCTTGTTTTAGACAATTATTAAACTTGGCCGTTTCCTTTCCTGATCTACAACAATTAGAGTTAGAACTGAGTGAAGAGGATTCTGCAGAGAGACACTAACAGTAATAGGAAAGAACAGTCAGCAGTCCGGGAAGGGCAGGGGTACTATGAGGGAGCACCTAAGGTAGGAGTGTAGGCACTGTGTATAGGGGCAAACAGACACAGACGCATGAATTGACCCTAGGGCAGGATTTTGAGGCCGGAAGGGGCAGTGAGGAAGGCACCTACCAGGACAGCGGGGGTGCTGGGTTTCACATTTCTGCATAACTAGCAGCACAGTAAGGGCAAAGTGGTTAACTTCTCCCTCTCTCCCAGTTTCCTAATCTATAAAATGAGGTGGATGTACCAGATCTTCTCAAAGTTTCCTTGCCCTTCAACAGTTTTCTCCTTTCATTGAATTTACAGGTAAGACTGGTTTATGATCTAAATTATAAACACAGCAACTAGACGAGACTGGGTAATCGATTTGTATACTTTTTAAAGAAGTAAATGAGAAATTAAAAATTATTTTGTGGTATGTTCATACCTTAATATACTATGTGTTTCTAAGTCTCTCTATTGTCTTACTATTTTATGGTTACTATGTGAATATATGCTTGAAAATGTAGAATTTAGCTACTTATATTTGGGCTTTATTTCTATGGGGATTTGACACTACTTTAGTACCATTGAAGGCATTTTCTCTTTTTTATTTTGTCTTTTGAATTTTATATATTTCATTTTTTATATTTTTTAGATGGTTATCCAAATGCAAACCCAGTCCAGGTTTCAACAGCAACGTTTTTTCTTTTCTTCAACAAAGAGTAGAGAATGGAGACCAGCTCTATCAATATTGTTCACTGATAATAAAAGGTATATCTCTCAAACAACAACTTCAGTGGGACCCCAGCAGTCACCATTTGCAAGGGTTTATGGACTTTGGTCTCGGCAAACTTGATGCTGATGAAACGCCACTCGCCTCAGAAACCATTTTGTTAATGGCAGTGGGTATTTCTGGTCATTGGAGAACACCTCTTGGTTATTTTTTTGTAAACAAGGCCTCTGGATATTTGCAAGCTCAGCTGCTTCGTCTGACTATTGGCAAACTGAGTGACATAGGGATCACAGTTCTGGCTGTTACGTCTGATGTTACAGCCCATAGTGTTCAGATGGCAAAAGCATTGGGGATACTTATTGATGGAGACAATATGAAGTGTACGTTTCAGCATCCTTCATCTTCTAGTCAACAGATTGCATACTTCTTTGATTCTTGCCACTTGCTCAGATTAATAAGAAATGCCTTTCAGAATTTTCAAAGCATTCAGTTTATTAATGGCACGGCACATTGGCAGCACCTTGTGGAGTTAGTAGCACTAGAAGAACAGGAATTATCAAATATGGAAAGAATCCCAGGAAAACTTGCAAATTTGAAAAACCATGTACTGAAAATGAATTGTGCCGCCCAACTCTTCAGTGAGAGCGTGGCCAGTGCGTTAGAATGCCTGCTGTCGTTAGGCCTGCCTCGTTTTCAAAACTGTATTGGTACCATCCATTTTGTACGCTTAGTTAACAATCTGTTTGACATTTTTAATAGTAGGAACTGTTATGGAAAGGGACTTAAAGGTCCTCTTTGGCCCGAAACTTATAGTAAAATTAATCACGTGTTAATTGAAGCCAAGACTATTTTTGTTACATTATCTGACACTAGCAATAATCAAATAATTAAAGGTAAGCGGAAACTAGGATTCCTGGGATTTTTGCTTAATGCTGAGAGCTTACAATGGCTCTACCAAAATTATGTTTTCCCAAAGGTCATGCCTTTTCCATATCTTCTGACTTACAAATTCAGTCAAGATCACTTGGAGTTATTTCTAAAGATGCTCAGAAAGCTATTAGTGACCAGTTCTCACCCTACCTGCATGGCATTCCAGAAAGCTTACCATAATTTGGAAACCAGATACAGACCGCAAGATGAAGTTTTTCTAAGAGAAGTAAGCATCCTTGACATTTCACTTGCTCAAAGGACAGACTTGGCCCTTTGGACCATTCAGCATCAGTATGGTGTCAGCGTTACAAAGACTCCTTTTCACAAAGAGGATATTTGCCAAGACTGGTCTGATTGTTCGCTAAGTGAGGCACTCGTAGACCTGTCAGAGCATAGGCGAAATCTCACCTGTTGTGCTGGTTATGTTGCAAATAAGTTATCGGCTCTTTTAACGTGCGAGGACTGCATCAGTGCCCTGTATGCGTCGGATCTCCGAGCTTCTAAAATTGGGTCACTCTTGTGTATTAAAAAGAAGAATGGTTTGCATTTCCCTTCAGAAAGTCTATGTCGAGTCATAAATATTTGTGAGCGAGTTGTAAGAACCCACTCAAGAATGTCAGTTTGTGAATTACTTCCTAAACAGAAGGAATTGTATCTTCAACAGAAAATATTCTGTGAGCTTTCTGGGCATATTTATCTTTTTGTAGATTTAGATGAGCATCTCTTTGATGGAGAAGTGTGTGCCATCAATCACTTTATCAAGTTACTAAAGGATATAATAGTCTGTTTCTTAAAGATCAGAGCTAAAGATGTAGCTCAGTATCCTTTGAAACACCATTCAGAAAGAACTGAAATGAAAACTTTTTTAAGAAAACACTGGTCATCTTTACAGGATTACAGAATTTCACGTTTTGCTAATACCAGTAAATTCAGGCATTTGCTAAGTAATGACGGCTATCCATTCAAATGAGGGACCTAAAATATATTAAAATTTTTATTTTATTAATAATTGGTCAACATTTATTTTAAAGTTCAACTTACCATATTTTATAAATTGACTATTCTGCACAGTGGACAAGTTTGCAGTTCTGACTTACAAGAATTTTTAATAATGCATTTTATAAAATCTGCTCATACTCTGGTGTGCCCTGCAGCATTTCAGAGTTACCCAAAATGGAGAAAGCAGTAAGTCAGTAGGAGCAGACTAGCCAACAGGTGCTGCCTTTGAATTTAGTACTGTAAGACTGAGTAATGTGACCCGACATAACTTTTAATTGTTCAGTCTGCTTTAAAAACGAGAGAATAATGACAACTAAGAGTCACCAAAACCTTGACTCCTTTTATAAACAGACTACATTCCCTAAAAGAGCTTTGGTTTACAGCTCATAAGAATGTTGACAGGGCCTGCCCGGTGGCGCAGCAGTTGAGTTCACACACTCCACTTGAGTGGCAAAGGTTTTACTGGTTCAGATCCCAGGCACGGACCTACTTACTGCTTGTCGAGCCGTGCTGTGGGAGGCGTCCCACATATAAAATAGAGGAGGATGGGCATGGATGTTAGCTCGGGGCCAGTCTTCCTCAGCAAAAAGAAAAAAGAGGAAGATTGGCAGCAGATGTTATCTCAGAGCTAATCTTCCTTAAAAAAAAAAAGAATGTTGACAGAACACCTAAAAAACCTTGAATATAGTTTTTGCTTACATATGAAAATTAAGATGGGTTTGAAAATTAGGTTAAAATAAAAGATCACATACCACAAAAATCCCTTTACCCAGGTACCCTAAAATACTAATACTTAGGCTTTAGCAGGCAGAAGGTAAACACATGAGCCATGAGATGGTTCCTTGTGCTGCAACCAAGCTGGGGAATGTAATCTGGCAAGTATGTCGGTGGTATCATTTTCACAATCCATTGTCCCTGGACTTCAAAATATTACTTTTGAATAATAGAGTGGATGTTTACTTGATTCTTATTGGAAGAGCCCAATGCTCATCAGAGAATGAGAAGCCTTTATTTCAACTTCTGAAGTCTACTTGTGTTTAAGGCTAAAATAATGAAACATTTTCAGTGTTGAATGAAAATGGAATTTCATAGCACATAATAAATTGGAAAAAGATGGTCGATTGAGACAACGGGTATGAAAGTGTTTGTCTTAATTATGAATTGTTTCAGGAATTTAGGAGAAGCTTAAATATCCTGAAGATGGAAACATACTAAGGACAGTTTTCCCCATTCTCTCACACCAAGATTTGAAAAGATAAACAGAAAAACATATAGGTATATGTATTTTCACAAATAGGAGTATATTACTGGATAAAGAAGCAACAGGTACATTATCACCTGTGTATGTGCAACATCTCTTTTTGTCATTGAGTGAGTGTTCACAAAATACAGTTAATCTTAATGTGAAAACTTAAAATTGCAAGAGTTTAATGACTAGGTAAAAGTTGAGGTTGATTAATTGAAATTGCCCTAAATAGTATATTTTGATGTATTTGTTTGTTCTACCTCAAACAAAGGCTTAAGTTTTGAAATGTAACCAGAATTGTACTACAGTTTATACAAGAGCTTTTGCTGAGAAATCTGAATATTGTGGGTTTAGTTTTGTTTGCAATAGAATGAGTTTAGATGCACCAAGATAAATCTTATTTAAAGGAAGCCTCTTTGTGAATCACCACCTTTAACTTTTGCTTATATAAATCCAAGTTTTGTGCCTGATTTTATTTAGAACTGGGTTCCTATCTGTAGTATCTTACGCTCTTTACTGTTACATTTGACTAATGTACTAATATATTCTGTATGGTAAGAAATTAGTGTTTTGCGTTATTTTAAGTACTGGATAAATTGGACAAACATTGAAGATAAGAAAATTTCTGTTGCTATCTTTAGGACAGTTAATTGCCCTTGCCCTAGTCAAAGGGTTCCAAGTCTGATATCAGATTTACTTGATATATGCTTTACAGTGAAATGTTTTGTTTTGTTTTGTTTTGTTTGAGGAAGATTAGCCCTGAGCTAACATCTGCTGCCAATCCTCCTCTTTTTGCTGAGGAAGACTGGCCCTGAGCTAACATCCATGCCCATCTTCCTCTACTTTATATGTGGGACACCTGCCACAGCATGGCTTGACAAGTGGTGCCGTGTCCACACCCAGGATCTGAACCAGTGAACCCCAGGCCACCAAAGCAGAACATGCGCACTTAACTGCTGCACCACCGGGCCAGCCCCTACAGTGAAATTTTTTAAATACTCACCTTATTTGATTAGGGTAGTTTAGTTTATAATTTCTACTCAACACCTTTGTCCTTTTCTTCGGAGAAAACAAACATTGCCTTCAGAAATTTATCCTTCCTACTTTTCAACAAATATTACTGGAACAACTGGATATCCACATGCAAAAGTATTAACTCTAAGTAGATGAAAGACCTAAATGTAAGAAATAAAACTATAAAACTCTGAGAAGAAAATAGAGTAAATCTTTGAGACTTGGATTAGGTGATAGTTTCTTAGTTATAACACCAAAAGCACAAGCAATGAAAAATAAATTGGACTTCACCAAAATTAAAAATTTGTGCTTCAAAGGACACTATCAAGAAAGTGAAAAGACAACCCACAGGATGAGAAAATTTTTGCAAATCATAGATCTGATAAGGACTTGTATTTAGAATATACAAAGAATTCCTTTAAGTCAGTAATAAAGGACAAATAACCCAATTTTAAAAATAAGTAAAGAATATGAATAGACATTCTTCAAAGAAGATATACAAATAGCCTATAAACATGAAAATATGCTCAACATCATTAGCCATCTGGGAAATGCAAATCAAAATCACAATGAGGTATCACTTCACACCCACTAGGATGGCTATAATAAAAAAGGTAGATAATAACAAGTGTTGGCAAGAACGTGGAGAAATTGGAGCCCTCATACCCCATTGGTGGGGATGCAGATGCTTTGGAAAAAAACAGTGGCAGTTCTTCAAAAGATTAAATGTAGAGTTACCAAATGACCCAGCAGTTCTGCTGACAGACATGTATGCCCAAGAGAAATGAAAACATGACCACGTAAAAACTTGTACACAAATTTCATAGCAGCATTCTAATAGCTAAAAAGTGAAAAAGCCTAAATGTCCAACTGATGAATGTATAAATAAAAAATGTGCTGTATCCATACAATGGGTTGTATAGTAAGTGTTTTACTTTGTAACAAACAGCCAGGACTTTTTGGGAAGTGACTCTATCACTCTGTGTTCCAACCAGAAATGTAAGAAAGTTCCAGTTGCTCTACTTCCTTCCAGGTCCTTGGTATTTGTTTTGAATTAGCCATTCTGATAGGTATGCAGTGATATTTCACTGTAGCTTTTATTTCCATTTTCTTAATGGCTATGATGCTGAGCATTTTCGTAGGCTTATTTGCTATCCACATAATCCTCTTTGGTGAAATGTCTGTTCAAGTCTTTTGCCCACATTTTGGAAGATTGGTTGTTTTCAGATTGAGCATTAGTTATATGTTCTGGATATAAGTGCATTATCAGATGTGTTTTGCAAATATTTTCTCCTAGTTTGTGGCTTTTCATTTTCTTGTGTTTTGAAGAGCAGACATTATTAATTTTAATAAGTCCAATTTATCAATTTTTCTCTTTTGGGGATCATACCTATTTTCCTATCTAAGAAATCTTTACCTAACCCAAGGCTACAGGGATTTTTCTTCTTATGTTTTCTTACAGGTAGTTTGTAGTTTTGGGTTTTGCATTTAGGTTATGACCCATTTTCACTTAATGTTCGTGTGTGGTATAAGTTGAGGTTGATATTTTTACATATGGATATCCCAGCACTGTTTGTTAAAAAGACTATTCTTTCTCCAGTGAAACTTCACCTTTGAACCTTTGTAAAAAAAATTGATCACATATATCTGAGTCTATTTCTGAGCTCTCTATTCTGTTCCATTGATCCATGGGTCTTTCACCAGTACCACCTTATCTTCATCAGCTTTGTATGTCTTGAAGTCAAGTGGGAGTCCTCCAACTTTCTTTTTTCAAAAATGTTTGGCGATTCTAGTTGTACCTTTCTTTATAAATTGTATAATCGGCCTGTTGCCTTTGACAGCTATTCCTGCTGGGATTTGACTGGAGTGATGTTGAACCTGTGGATCAATTCAGGGAGAAATGACATCTTAATATCGAACGTTCCAATCCATGAACGTGCTGTATCCCTTTTTTAAGGTCGTCTTTTTTTCTTTTATCAGTGTTTTCTACATTTCACATACAGATCTTGTAGATATTTTTATCACATTTCATGTTTTGTGGTGCTACCATCAATGGTCATTCTAAAATTTGTTTCTAAATATTCATTGCTACCATGCAGAAATACACTTTTGTATACTGACCTTGCTAAACTCTCTAGCAGCTTTGTAAGATCCTTTGACTTCTATATACACAATCAAATCGTTCTCAAATAGATGTTTTTGTCTTATTTATTCATTTCCAATCAGTGGCCTTTCCCTTCGCACCCTATGGTACAGTGACCTCCAACATAATGTTGAGGAGTTCCTTGTTCCCAGTCTTAGGGGGAAAACATTCCGTCTTCACCACTTATGTTAGCTGTAGGCTTTTTGGTAAATACTTTTTATCAGGTTGAGTATCCCTTCTATTCCTAGTTTGCTGAAGAAATTTTTTTTTTAAATCGTAATTTTTTCTGTACCTTTTTTTTGAAAAATAATTTTGAGATATTGACGTACTGTAATCACACTTTTAAAGCATACAATTCAGTTTTTAGTATATTCAAAAGATTGTTTTCTGCAACTTTTGAAATGACCATATAATTTTTCTTCTTTTGTATTTTGATAGTGACTTATATTGATTTTTTTGAATGTTGCATCAAACTTTTATTCCTGGGATAAACCCAACCTGATCATGATGTATTCTTTTTATGAATTGCCAGATTTCATTTGCTAATATAATAAATTACAGAGTTATAGTCAAGTCTGTGGCCTTATAATAAACGTTATCCTGAATGTACTTATTTTCTTATCGCTTTTGAGTAAAAACTAAAAATGCCTTAAATGCTTTCATAAATCTTACTATTTAAAAGCTAATTTTTAATTTAGAAAAGTCTTTATATCTTTCATTTTATAAAATCACTTGGATCATGATCAAGACATTTGGTTTTTAGATACTGACAAACCGTGCATTAAAGAAACCCTAACAAGGAAAAATAAAGCCCTAAGTAATTTACATATTAGAAAATAACTCCAGCAGTAAAGGCTTTCTAGCTGATTTGCTTCCCTCTCCTTTGGGCTGCTGTTCCAGAATTCCTATAAGAACCCTTAAGGGAAGAATCTGATCACAGGTAGGGCGGGAGGTCCTGGTTTGAAGCTGAGTTTACATAACAAGTACTCATTTTCTTAGCTATCTGTGTTACAGAACAATAAAAATAGAAAACTTTTCTAAAGGTACTTTTATTCACATTTTACATAAGACTGAGAAAATGTCAGCTGTCCTTTTGAAAGGAGGAAGTGAAAGCAGGCGTCTCTCCCCAGTTCCTGCTCCCCTGCTTTTATTACCTGTCACGTTAAGCTTGTTTCCCGGAGTCCAGAGATAAGGCCTGCAGGTTGCTGTTAGTTCTTGAGAGAAAAGGAAAGCAAGACAGGTGCTCCCCATAAGACCATCGAACATTACAAGACAGGAAAGAGGAGATGGGGTTTCTGCCCTTAAACAGTGGAAAAAAGAGAAGACATATTCCTGTTTCAAAGCAATGTGTTGTTGATAATTGAGCAAAATGCTAGATTAATTTTTAGTTGTGTGCTTTCAAAAGTAATGTCAAATTTACTCAAAATGAGATTTTAAAAGGTTTCTTGCATGTTAAATAGCTAAAAGTGGTGGTATTAAAGAAAAAATGCAAAACCTTTTTTTACAGAATAGTATAAATGTTTATTTTCTGTATGATTTACTTTGCTGTCCTGTTTTTACAATATAGAAAAGTGTATTCTTTGAATAGCTCTAGTAAATATAAATTTATTCTTTCTACTTTGGGATGTAAATAGAGCTAAAAAATTATATACCCATCCCTCCCCAAATAGTCTTTTAAAATTGTTGAATTAATGTGGATATTAATCTTGTTCAGCAATCTGATGCAAACACCTAAATACAAAAAGTTGTTTAGTAAGGACTACACAGGAAGGAAAAGGCTTAATACTTTAGATAGCTTCTTGAAAATCAGAAAAACTAGTAGCATTTGATTGCACCTTCAAATTTTTACAAGCAAAACATTCTCAAGCAATGCCATCGTACATAATCTACAATTGTAATCCAAATTTCACAAACATTTTCTGCACACTGTATATAAATACACATCACAAAGGTGCAATTAGAATTAAACACAAAGTATGTACAAAATGAACAAAGTTTAGGTTTAGACCAAAAAGGTACTGTAATCCTTTGAAAAATAACTTGATTAGATATTATTTTATCCTCTTACACTAATTTACATTTATACAAATTTTAATTAAACATACTAGATTGAGGTGCTAAAGAATGTTTGCACTATCTACATTTAAAGTTACTGCACTATAATTTTATAAATCCAAATTTCAAAAGGAAGATACTTTAATGAATAACGGAATCTTCTTTTGGATTACTGAATTTCTATTGCCTATATCTTACGTGTTCATATGAACATATATACACACTTAATACATACAACTATCGATTCCTTGTAGGAAATGTAATAATCATATACTAATAATTACTGAGGATTAAGGTACCTAACAAAATGCCTGAATTCCAACATGGTTTTTTCTTGTCATAAAATCCAG